CAAATGAAAAGTGGCCCCAAGAACACAGGCTAAGAGAGGAGATGGTCTGACTTGTTGGTCAAAGCAGAGGAACTAGAGAAACCTAAAGGGCCAGGAGGTTGAAATCCCATTCTGCTGTTGGAGAACAGAGGTAACTGAGGAAGTAGATGCTGCACGTAAGCAAGCCAAAGCTTTCCTCAAGCAAGATGAGCAAGAGCCACAAGCTAAAGGTCCTTCAGCTGTGTCACTTCCTGCCAGGTCAGGGGTTAGAAGACAAGTGGTTTCTTGTGGGAATGTGGCGCCAAGCAGCAGAAGAGGAGCATCCTGGAAATGCCAAAGAGCACCACAGCAGAGCATCAGGGAGGTGGAGATTGGTGACAAGCTGTCCATCCATAAGCCACAACAGAGAGCATGTGGGGTGCAAAGATTTTCTAGACTGAGTGGAGACAGATAGTTTGAAACGGAGAGAGCTCTCAGGCTCAGCAAAAGTCAAACCTTGATTTTGATGAGGAGAACTAGGTGAGTGATCCTGTAGACACTGTGAGTTTTTCCTGTCTGTGCAGTCTTTCTAATGTTCCTGATTCACAGCAAGGCATCTTTCTATGCTGGAGTTCTGCTATGTGTCTTGATCTCATATAGCTTCACTCCTTATCGTTTAAAAAGCTTGTCCTTAAATAAGCAAACAAATAAAAATTAGAGCTCTATTCATTGTAAAGTGGAATGAGAGTTTCTCAGCAACTTTGTAGGATGTAAGCTTTGAGAGTCACCATAGCTACTGCTGGGACACTGAAGCCATGCTCTCCCTTGAGACCTCTGCATGTTTAGGTGTGTCTCATCTTATCTTTTCCTACTTGGCTTCCATTTGTATACTACTGTTTTTAAGTATATGTGTGTTCACTTCTAAATAAATCCAGCTCTAGTTCATACTGACTCATTCTGTCACGAGTGCTTAATTATGCCAGAGGACTTTAACTGAGATGCTACAAAGGGTGGCAAGGTTTTGATAAAAGCCAATGCCAGAATGATTTTTGAATGCTGCTTTAGTCACACAAATCACACAAATATCTAAAAGTTGCCTAGCACATTATACATCTTATGGGGAATACAACCTGGCCACAGGTACGGGCTCGGACACTTTTGCCTCTGGTGTTGGGTATCTTGTAGGTCCTGGAACTTCGCAGTTCCAGCCGGACTTCAGGCGCGTCTTCTGATGACTTGATAGGCCTCGGAGCTTCTCTGTTCCAGCCAGGCCTCGGATGCAAAGGAAGGTGCGGTTGCTCCAGAGCCACCTTCCAGGGCTGGTCTGATAACGTGGTCCTTTCAGAACCGGTTTATTAAGGTGGTCTGGGCTTTCAAACAGCCGTTCAGAAATTGGCTGGTTATCGACAGTCTATCAGCTTCCTCATCATGAGTCTAGCCTGCCGTGCCCGTGTAGGCTCAGGCTGCATATTTATACATTTTTGGGGGCATGGCTTGGCTTATCATTCTTTCACATGTGCCAGCTGCTAATCAGCTGACATTACCTAATTTCACTACTTAATGTCTAGGGGTGTTACTTTAATTGTTATGTTTTATTCCAGAGCATGGCTTAGCTTATCATTCTTGCACACACACACACGCACACACATCAGCTGCCTTAGGGGTGTTACTTAGTTAGTATTACTAAGAATATCTTCTTATCTATCCTTGACAGCTCTACTGTCTTTCAGGCTCATTACACATCCTGAAATTCCATTCTGTTGCAAAGTCAAGATCGAACTTGAGTTGAGATCTCTGAAAAGAATTGAGCCCCTGAAGATGGTTTTGTGTAGCAAGTCTGTCACCTGGGCCCCAGTCACTGCCACCTTGAAAGCTTAAGGCTCAGCCTTGGAAATGTCACGCTAGCAAAAGAACACACACATGAATATATATTCCTTTTACAAGAAATATATATATTCTGTTTACAAGGAATATATAGTCCATTTATATGACTATTGGGGAAAAGGCAGAAGATGGATTAGTGTTTCTCAGGAAAGGAGGATGGGGCTGGGGAAAATGGATATAAAAAACTGACACCCCTGAACCCATCCTCACTGCTCAGAACATTATTAAAATGCTGCAAACACTCTTTCTTGGCACCCAGCAAAAGCTCCTGCTACTTTCACTTTCTCTTAAGGGCCCATTTAACCCCAAACCACACCCATACTCTTCCTACACAAAGGCAGTCTGTTTCCTCTCCCCTGACCAGAGGCACTCTCTAAATTGGATAAAGAGTCAGCAGAGTCTGGTAGGCAGCACCACTAAGCTGCTGGGACATCCAGGCTGCAGCTCCTGCGTTGAGAAGACACTACTGAGGTAGGTGATGGTGCCGGCTCAGGGTGGGGCTGTGGGACCCACAGAGGTCAGTTTCCAAGGCACAGGCTGAATCTGGGAGGAAAAACCAGGACTTCAGAGTTAGGAAGGGAGACAGCTGGGAGGTGGTGTCTGATGGGCATTTTAAAAGGTTGCTGTTCCAGGAACTCCTGACAATGGCAGTGAGGCTGGTCCTCAGGATGGTATCTTGGAGCTGTGTTGACTCCTTCTCAGGCAGGCCTAGGGGCTGAAGGTTACTGAAGGACCTTCTCCCCTGGCAGCTTTTCTCAGGGCCTCTTTCATGATTCCTCTCAGACCACACCACCTAAATAACTTGCCTCTATCTTCTTCTCCTGGGTATTTCAGAAATAATGTCTCCTTTACTTCTGGGACCTTTAAAGATCTGGAGTCTCCAGTCCAAGTTTGAGCACAGCTTATTCCCCTTTACATGACAATTCACTCCATGCGGACACAAAGCTCCCTTTTCCTGAGTCTCCTTCCAGGTGCTTAGTATTAGGGTACCACACATTTCCCCTGCCTTCACAGGGCTCCTGGTATGATGGAGACAACAATCAGAAATGATTACCCTTAAGAGTGATGAGCAGACCTGGGGAAGGGCAGCTGCACTAGGATAGGACAGCACAGGCCCTGAGGTTGTCCTGTCCCAGGGACGGTGGGAGGGGTGAATAGTTTGAACTCAGTGACAGGGATGGGGGAGATGACCTTCTAAGTGGAATAAAGAGCACTTCAGGGATACACAAGCAACTTTAAAGTGACATAAAAATGGGCAGGAAGGTAGGGTGGTAAACAGGGTCACTTGAGAGGACCAACCAGAGGGGAAGTCATTGAAATAAGCAGCCTCAACATTCTGTCAGAGCCTGGGAGACTGAAGGGGAGGAGGCAAAGGGTCTAGGTGCTCTCTCAGGATGCTGTGTCCTCCTGTCTGGGGAGTGGGAAGATGTATGGGATGGAATGTTCTGAGGCTTCCTTAGCTGTCTGCTCTGCCGGAGCTGTCAGCAGAGTAGAACGGTTCTTGAGTCAGGAGTGACGATTAAAATAAACTAACACACAATACATGGGATCTTTGGGAGAGGCTCTGGTGGAGACTAGACTCTGCCAGCAGCCTGGCTTTATTTCAGACTGCTTTTAAGCCAGAGTAAAACAGCTCAGCACAAAGGGTCAAATGCACAAGGAAGTGAAACAAGAGGCATGATTTTGACAAGCTGTCCCACTTGCTGTCACAAACAAAAGGAGAAGGACTTGGAAATTCTTCCCTGACTTCAGTGAAGGCCTGGTAAAACCAGTCTCTCTGCTGAGATTTAAATATCAAAGCAGCTGGTAGAAGAGCAGCTTCCAACACTGCTCTGCATTTTAGCACAGAAGGAAACACTCTGGAACACACATAGTGACGTGGTGAAGGTCATGTGGCTGTGAGAGCAAGGCCATGGAATGCACAGTGACTCAACACTGGGTTAAGGTTCAGCCGCAGTCACCTAGTCTGGGCCAAGCTGTCTATTCACCTGGGAGGTGAGGCACACTCAAGGGAAAAGCAGCCTGGGTGCCTGCAGCTGATGCAAGTCCTGAGCAGCCACTGCAGGGGAATGCTTCCTGCTGCACAGCACAGGAGACAGCACCAGCCTGTAGATGGGTCTCATCCAGCATCTCAGTGTCTTTCCTGCAGCAACTGGCAAATGTGGAGCGCACTGTCTAATGCCTCATGGATAACTCAGGAGGATTCTTCCCAGCAGAGTCAAGGATGCAGACTTGGTGAAGCCACTTTAGATGGCCTAGAGGCCATGGCTGCTTCCTTCCTCTCTTCTTCCTAGGTCTCTTTGTCCTGCTTCTTCAGAAGAGAGGATTTGGTCTCTATTAAAGAAGACTAGAGCCCACCTCTCAGCTTGTCCCATGTATGGGTTCCTGATGGTCTTTCCTTCTACCTGTGCAGATGAGACAGAAACAAAATGATCTACTGCCATAAACACACTTAGCTAATAACTTAAAATTGTAAAGATCTTGACCTAATATGAATTTTAAAAATTAAATTTAGAGTGCTTAAGAGCTTTGAAATGACAACCAGAGTAGACTCTCCAATTTCCCTCTGTCAGGTCAATGAACATTAGGTGCTGTCTTAAGTACCATTTCTCTTTTGCCTCCAGCCTCTGCATCATGAATTCTGTGTCAGAAGCAAATGGCACTTTTGCCATCCAGCTTTTGAAGACTCTCTGTCAAAACAACCCTTCCAAAAATGTATGTTATTCTCCGGTGAGCATCTCCTCTGCTTTAGCTATGGTCCTCTTGGGGGCAAAGGGAGAGACTGCAGCCCAGATATCTCAGGTAAGTTTCTTCTTGCCTACATACCTACCTCACTTGTCTCAAAGCTGCCAAGAACAGACAGTCAAAGATGCACACACTGATTCATGGAGTGGTGGCTATAGAGAAAGGAAGACAGAATCTCCTCCTATAACACTTCCTTAAAGGTAATGAGTCTTCCTCAGTATAAACTTGGGGCGGGAGGGGGGGGACTCTAAAAACTGTCCAGACTTCACTTAACAGTGGTGCATAAATAATTTCATGCTAGGCCTGGTGGCACAGGCCTTTAATTCCAGCTACTAAGGAGACTGAAAAAGGAGGCTCCCAAGTCCAAGACTAGCCTGTGCAAATTAGTTCAAATAAAAAAGATTTTATAAAATAAGTTGGAAAAGGGGTGGTTGGAGAGGTGCCTCATAGGTTGAGTGCACTGGCTGTTCTTCTTTCAAAGGTCCCGAGTTCAATTACCAGTCAACCATACGGTGGCAAATAACCATCTGTAGTGAGATCTGGTGCCCTCTTCTGGTGTGCAGCCACACATGCAGCCACAACACTGTATAAATAACAAACAAATGAATCTTAAAAAAAAAAAAAAGAATATGGAGGAAGGTTGTCAGGGTTATAGCTTAGGTTCAGTCTCAAGTACTGCAATGTAAACGCAAAAAAGATGCTGAAATTATAGAACACACAGGTTGCTGAGATCTGTCTTATTTTTAGATGGATAGAATTTGTAATTATTCATTGGCAAGGAAGGATAATTCTTCCTCTTAACTTTGTCCAATCTGCCTTGCATCACCTAAGACACTGAAGGGCGTAAAATGTGTGTAGCTGGTCTATGTTCTGAGTGGGCATTGGGTTGGTTCCTTTTAACATCTGACATGGGATGTGTGTGTGTGTGGATGTTCCAGGGCAGGTAGGAGGCATCTGCCTGAGGGGTGTGTGGGGCGGGGGTAATTTCAGCTTCCAGCTTAACTGTTGTCACTGTTGCTTTATGTTTGGCCAGGTCTTTCTTATGAAGCTCATTTTAGATATAACTCTGCTCATTCTAACCATTTCCATATTCAGTCAGGAGTACATGGAAGACAAATGCACAGAAGATGGTTATTTGTAATCAACCTTTACTGTCTTCCCTAGGTTTTAGGTTCACTAATAAACACTTATAGAAAGCCTTTGTGTGTGTATAGCAGGTGTGTGTGTGTGTGCGTGTGTGTGTGTTTGTGTGTGTGTGTGTATGTGGTTCTTTATGAGAAGGACAGCAATCACTCCAGGATGTCTTCTTGATAGTGCCTCTCAGTGCTGGGATTACAGCCAGACACCACTAGCCCAACTTTTTATTTGCATAGTGAGAATTCAACTCAGATTCTCATGTACTTTACTTTCTGAGCAATATATATATATTTCTATATATATATATATATTTCTAAATATATATATATATATATATATATATATATATATATATATATATTTCCTCATTGAACTCATAATGTTTCATTTTTTTTTCCACACAGACACTTGGTTTGAATACCAAAGAAAACATCCATCAAGGCTTCCATTGGCTTCTCAGCAATCTGAACCTGCCATGCAGAAAGTACGCCCTCAGCATGGCCAACAGACTCTTTGCAGAGAACACTTGTGAAGTGCTCTCAGTAAGTTGCAGCAGTAGAATAAAAACAATTGTATTCATATAAAATGGTGCTTTGCATTTCAGAAGAAG